ATGGAAGGAATACACACAGTCATTGTACCAGAAAGACCTGCTCAATCTTCATCCATTTCAGGAGGTGGTATATGATTAAGAACCAATGGTACTGAAGGAAGAAGTTGAAGCTGCACTGAAGGAACTGGTGAAGAAAAAGGCACCAGGAATTGATGGAATACCCATTGAGATGTTTCAACAAATGGATGGCCCACTGGAGGCACTCACTCAGTTATGCCAAGAGATTTGGAAGACAGCTACCTGTCCAACTGACTGGAAGAGATCCATATTCGTACACATTCCAAAGAAAGGTGATCCCACAGAATGTGTAAATTATCAAACAATATCATCAATATTACATGCAAGTAAAATCTTCCTGAAGATAATTCAAAACTGGTTGCAGCAGTATATTGACAGAGAACTTCCAGAAATGCAAGCTGAATTCAGAAGAGGACACTGATCAAGGGATATCATTGCTGATGTCAGATGGATCTTGGCTCAAAGCAAAGAATACCAGAAGGATGTTTACTTATGTTTTACTGACTATGCAAAGGCATTTGTTTGTGTGGATCATAACAAATAATGGGTAACACTGAGAAGAATGGGAATTACAGAACACTTAATTGTACTCATGAGGAACCTGTACATAGACCAAGAGGCTGTCATTCAAACAGAACAAGGGGACACTGCATGAAGTGAGTGTGTCAGGGTTGCATCCTTTCCCCATACTTATTCAATCTATATGCTGAGCAAATAATCTGAGAAGCTGGACTATACAAAGAAGAACGTGGCATCAGGATTGGACAAAGAATCATTAACAACCTGCAATATGCTGACGACACAACTTTACTTGCTGAAAGGATGACTTAAAGCACTTACTGATGAAGATTAAAGAATACAGTCTGCAGTATGGATTACATCTTAATATAAAGAAAATAAAAATCCTCACAACTGGACCAATAAGCAGCATCATGATAAATGGAGAAAAGAATGAAGTTGTCAAAGACTTCACATCATTTGGATCTACAATCGATGCCAATGGAAGCAGCTGTCAGGACATCAGATGACGTATAGCACTGGGCAAATTGGTTGCAAAGAACCTCTTTCAAGTGCTGAAGAGCAGAGATATCTCCTTGAGGACTAAAGTGCACTTGACACAAGCCATGGTATTTTCAGTCACCTCATATGCATATAAGAGCTGGACAATGAATAAGGAAGACTGAAGAGTTGGTACTTTTGTATTGTGGTGCTGCCAAAGAATGCTGAGACCACAGAATGCTAAAAGATCTAACAAATCTGTCTTAGAGGAGGTGCAGCCGGAATGCTCCTTTGAGGCGAGAATGGCCTGACTTCAACTCACCAACTTTGGTCACGTTGTCAAAAGGGACCATTCCCTGGAGAAGGATGTCACGCTTGGTAAGGTGGACAGTCGACAAAGGAGGGTAAGGCCCTCAACAAGATGGATTAACACAGTGGCTGAGCCTATGGGCTCAAGTATAGCAAGGATCGTGGAGCTGGTGCAGGACCGGGCACTGTTTCATTCTGCTGTGCATAGGTCACTATGAGTCAGAAGTGACTCGATGACACCTAACAATCTTTGACCTTCATCAGTAAGTGTTTCAAGTCTCTTCACTTTCAGCAAAGTTGTGTCATCTGCATACTGCAGGTTAACAATTCTTCCTCCAATCCTGTCACTCTCTTCTTCATATAGTCCAGCTTCTTGGATTATTTCCTCAGCATACAGATTGAATAAGTATGGTGAAAGGATACAACCCCAACACACACCTTTCCTGACTTTAAACCAATCAGAATCCCCTTGTTCTGTTCAAACACCTGCCTCTTAGTCTATGTACAAGTTCCATAGGAGCACAATTAAGTGTTCAGGAATCCCCATTCTTTGTAATATTATCCATAATTTGTTATTACCCATACAGTCTACTGCCCTTGCAGTCTTAATAAAACACAAGTAAATATCTTTCTGGTATTATCTGCTTTCAGCCAAGATCTACTTGACTTCAGCAATGATATCCCTCGTTGCATGTCCTCTTGTGAATTTGGCTTGCAATTTCTGCCACTTCCCTGGAGATGTACTACTGCAACTGATTTTGAATTACCCTCAGGAAAACTTTACTTGCATGTGATATCAATGATATTGTTCGATAATTTCTGCCTTCTGTTGGGTCACCTTTTTTTTCGAATTGACACAAATATAGATCTCTGTCAGTTGGCCAGGTAGCTGTCTTCCAAATTTCCTAGTATAGATGTATGTGTGTTTTCAGCTTTCGGTGTGTTTGTGGAAGTATTTCAACTCATTTTCTGTGTATTCCTGGATCCTTGTTTCTCGCTAATGCCTTCACAGTACAGTAAGGATGTAAAGAATACAGCCTAGGAAACCCTATGCAGTAGTTCTGTTCTGTCCCATAGGGTCACTATAAATTGGAATCAACTAAATGTCAATGGACAGGATCAATGGACATCATTACGGTGCTCAGGTATTTTGAAAGGGGAATTCCTGGGCTGACAGGAGGCCTAATATGAATGCTTCTGTTACCAAGGGCCATGATTCCACAGGCCCCTTACACAAAAAGTCACAGAGGAAGCTCCCAGTTCAGCATGAGGCAGTTGGCTCTGATAAAGCACCAAGCCCCACAGCAGGTACACACCCCAGTTGGAGAAGCAGTCACCAATCTAGTACAGTCCAGAAGTAGTGCAGCCTCAACTCCTCGACTGGCACACTTTGCAGGAACCACAGAATTACCAAATGCAGGACTCTCAAAATACAGGCTCTCAGCCTGGAGAAGCTTCTTGCTGCTATGTTACACTGCGGGTCCATATGAACCAAGAGAAACTCTCCTTCCATGCATACCCTGCTTCTCAAAGCACCACCTGGAATGTGCATTTTTGTGAGATGGTATACAGTTGTATACAAAAGAACCAACATAATAGTTTGATATTTATCCAAAGTCATATGCTATAACTAAAAGGTAACTTGCCTTATAGGCAGTCTCTGCATGTAAGGTCTTACAGGGGCCTAAGTGAAAAGGAACACTGAAGGATTCCCTCATATTTTACATTCATAGGATCAATCCATAGTCTAATATTTCATATATTTTCTAAGAATTCCAAAAGATTCAGAGATGTTTCCATGTTCCTTAGATACAAATGATTTTCAGAAATATGCCCTCACATATTTAATAGAGGTAATTAGTGAAAGCTTTCTCATTTGCAAAAATCTTCACATTTTGGAAAATACAAGAAATAGCAAAAACTTTCCTTTATCACATTCCTTACACTACATGGTTTCTCTCCCATGTGTTTCTTTCAGGTTTTTTAAATAGCTGAGCTATTACAGAAAGTCTTCCAACATTACTACACGTTCTTTCTTTCCAGTGTACCTTCTCATGTCTTCAAAAGGCTTAGAACTGAAGAGTTTCCCTCATTCCTTACATATATAAGGTCTCTCTCCACTGTGAGTTCTTACATGTTTACTGAGGAAACAAGGAGTAACTAAAGGCATTCACACATTCCTAAGACTTCTCTCCATGTGCTTTATTATTATGAAGTATGAAACCTAAGGCTTTCCAACATGCCTTATCTTCATGAGGCCTCTACATACTGTAAGCTCTTCTATGGTTAGCAAGGGATGAGAACCAACTAATGTCTCTCCCACATTTCTTACTATTAATAAGACATCTGTAAAAGTGGTATGACATCAGAAGCCATCTTCTAACTTTAGGGGTTGGAGAGAGATTCACCATTATCATCAGCCCAAAGCTGATTTGAGGTAGGTATCAAATATACATCCAGCCCTCCACCTTTTTTTGTTTGTTTTTTTATCCTATTCTGACACCAGCCTTCCCTCCCACAGCTTTCTCTTCTGGGTTTGACAATTCATTGCAATGGACACACAGAACTCACAGACTATACTCACAATTAATGGTGTTTATTAGGGAAGTAACATATTACATCAAGATCAGGATCAACATGGAAATAACAGGAACAACTCAGGATACAGTTCTTTGATCCAGGACAGCTTCTTCTTAGCCTCTGTGACTGGGCCCTTGTCTCTGCTGCCAGCCTCAGCCCTGCTCAGGCAAGTGTTACAGCTCTTTAGCAATGCTGGTAAGTGCCTAGAAACACCCCACTCTGCCAGGAAACCAACTGCTAGAAGGCACTCAGCTGTCGTGCTCCACAGGTCAGCAAGCCTACCTCTGCAAACAAGTGCCTGGAGACACTCCATTTCACCAGCAAGCCTCCTACCCAAATGTAATCAGTACTCTCACTCTGTTGGTTGACAAGCCCACTGTGGCCACCTAGTCCCATGTGCTGCGAAGCCCACCATGCCGTCTTGCTGCTGCCTGCTTCTGCTGCTGCCTGCTTCTCTGCTACGCTTGCTGCCATTTCTCAACATTTCATGCTGTTCTCCTACAGTGTTAAGCTCTGTCTGCAGGGTTTAGGAGTTCTCAGTACAGAGACCTTGGGTCCAAAGGATGCACTGGACTCCTGGCCTGTCTTCTTGGTATTACTGAGGTTCCCCACCATTCTCCTGATTGGCTTTTTTTAAACCTAGTGGGGTGCCAAAACCGACCAATCCCATACTTCAATTACATGCACCATATTTGCATAGTCCCATCCAATCATTTTGTAGGTGTTACAAGACCATGGTGAGAAGGGCCATATGATAGCAATTCACTGCAATGGAGGTTCTCTCCGCTGTGAGACTTTATATGGTTAGTGAGGTGTGAAAACTGACTAAAGGCTTTCCCACGTTTCTTACATTCATAAGGCTTCTCTCCACCATGAACTCTTACATGTCTAGTGAGTTGTGTAAACTGCTTAAAAGCTCTCCCACATTCTTTACATTCATATGGCCTTTCTTCACTGTGTGTTCCTACATGAGTACGGAGGTGTGATGACCGACTAAAGGCTTTCCCACATTCTTTACATTCATAAGGCCTCTCTCCATTGTGAGATCTTACATGTATAGTGAGAGATGAGGAAAAACTAAAGGCTTTCCCACATTCCTTACATTCATAAGGCCTCTCTCCACTGTGAGTTCGCATATGTGTAGTGAGGGAAGAGGAACAAATAAAGGCTTTCCCACATTCCTTACACTCATAAGGTCGCTCTCCACTGTGAGATCTTATATGTGTAGTAAGGGCTGAAGAATGACTAAAGGCTTTCCCACATTCCTTACATTCGTAAGGCTTCTCTCCACTGTGAGTTCGTCCATGTGTAGTGAGGGATGAGGAACAACTAAAGGCTTTTCCACATTCCTTACATTCATAAGGCCTCTCTCCACTGTGAGTTCTTATATGCCTAGTGAGGTGTGAGGACAGACGAAATGCCTTCCCACATACCTTACATTCATAAGCCCTCTCTCCACTGTGAGTTCTTGTATGTCTAGTAAGGTTAGAGGAACGACTGAAGGTTTTCCCACATTGCTTACATTCATAAGGCCTCTCTCCACTGTGAGTCTGTGTATGTGTAGCAAGGATTGAGGAACGACTAAATGCTTTCCCACATTTCTTACACTCAAAAAGCCTTTCTCCACTATGAATTCTTACATGTCTAGTGAGGCTTGAGACATAACTAAAGGTTTTTCCACACTCTTTACATTCATAAGGCCTCTCTTCACTGTAAGTTCTTCTATGTTTAGTGACAGGTAAGGAAGAAGTACGACGTTTCTCATATGCCTTACATTTACAAAGTTTCTCCCTCACATAAGGTTTTAGGTAAGAAGGATAACTGCAGTCTTCTCCGCATTCCGTACAATGATAAGGTTTGTAACCAAAGTGTGATCTTATGTGATGCTTAAATGTTGAATGAGTCGTGAAGGCTTTTCCACACTCAAGGCATTCCAAAGGATTTACCCCAGAAAGAGTTCTTTTGAGCCTAGTAAGATTTCCAATCCAGCTGAAAGTTTTTCCACACTGATTATTTTCTTCACCTTTACTTACTTTACCACCTTTACTTTCACAGAAGCTCTCTACTGTATATATTCTGTTAAAAATAGGAAGCATGTTGTTAGAATTAGTGACATGTGTTTCAAATACTCAAATACATTTTGGAAATACTGTGCTGTAAAAATTATGTGAATCCACCAGTTTGGAGCTAGTTTTACACACTCTCACACAAAATGTCACGATACCCAAGACTCCCTTGAGGCACTGTTCAATTTCATGTGAACAATACTCACCTCATGTGCCCTCCCTGGTTGTTGTGCTGATGTTCAATGCCATGGAATTCAAAGATTTCTTCTAACATAGAGGACCAGGAGTCATTCTTCATGGACAATATCTGTCCATTATTATCCTGTTTAAAAACTGATCCAATAATTTCACATGGTGTTTCATAAGACAAAACAAAACACAAGGAAAAAGCCATGTGTGAAAAGAAATCAACTTTGGGGCATATGGCTGTTATAGGACTTTGGCAAAGGACAAAAGGTAAGAAATTTACTAAGAAATAATTCCATGACAACTGAGAGTGATAGTAATGTTACCAAAAAACAAACCAAATTCCCTGCCATTGAGTTGATTCTGACTCATAGTGACCCTCACTGGATTTCCAAGGCTGTAAATCTTTATGGAAACAGATTGTCTCATCTTTCTTCTGTGGAGCAGCTGGTGAGTTCTAACCACCAACTTTTGGTTAAAAGCCAAACGCCACCAGAGCTTCCTTGATGGAAATATGAGGATGTAACTAAAACCTAAACCAAATTTACTGCCACTGAATTGATTCCAAATTATAGTGACCCCATTGGTTTTCCAAGGCTGTAAATCTTTATAAAAGCAGAGCACACCATCCTTCTTGCACAGAGGGGCTGGTAGGTTCAAACCATCGACCTTTTGCTTAGCAGTCAAATGTCCCAATTACTACACCACATAAGCTTCTTAGGAGGTAATTACAAAAGAAAACAAAAAGATATTAAAAACAATGCATGTGTGTAAAGGTAATATTTAGTAAGGTGTGTAAGGATAAAAGAGGACATAACGAGGTCTTTTCCCACATACACAGAAATCATGAGATGAGTGACGAAAAACCAAAAGTTAGCTCAGGTACATGTGTTAAGTTCCACCTACTCAAAGCAAAAGAGATTATTTCAAGTTAATTTCTTCAAATGTAATTCCATCCCAGCAGAGCTTGTCTTTCTAAGGATTCTTGCCTTCCTGGTGCTCCCTGACATTATAGCTCTGGATAAGTCCTATCTCCACTGAAAGTCCCAAGGTCAGCTGAACATGGCAGGCTGCTGAACAACAACACAACTACATACATAGTAGGTTAGAGACCGTTCCCCAAGGCCTCTCCTTATATACAGGAAGCAGACCAAATCCCTAAGGCAGCTACTTAGCTGCTCACAGTAGATTCCACCATGATGTTGCTTACCAGTCTCATCATGGGGAACACTACATCCAGCTACCCAGCCACTCAACCAGGCCCAGCTAAGTCTACACAAAAACTAAACTACCACACTAACGTTGCTTCTGTCTTCAAAAGCATTTTAATAGGGAGTCAACCAAGATATGTCAAAAGGAACAATGAACAAAGACCTACTTCTAGGAAAAAAATGTTTATTTTTCTCCTGAAAGGTGAACAGACTTTGTCAAATATGTGATCCCCAGAAAGACAATTTGTACTTGTGCCAAAAAGACGCTTTTGGTTGAATAAATTATAAGACATGGATATACTACAGGGGTTCAATAAATATTTTTGAATTAGTAAACGAAAAAAACAAAAACCTCAAGGCTTTTAACAACACAATGAAGAGTCTGTTTAATACGTATATTTCTACTTTCATACAGAAGCCACTAGAGTCTAAGACTCATGAGAACACTGACAGTGTTTGCCAATGTATTCTAATTCTTTAACCCAAATCCTGTAAGAAGGTCAATGAGTACAATATATTTATTCACTAAATAATAAGAAAAATGAAACCATCTTTACCTGAGTCCAGGTTTCTGAAGGTTTCCATCATCACATCTCTGTAGAGTTTCCTCTGAGAAAAATCCAGCAAAGCCCACTCTTCCTGGGTAAATTCCACAGCCACATCCTCAAAGACCAATGAGTCCTAAAACATACAGATTCTGGATCAGCAAAGTGCCATTGCCCGCAATGGGTGCAAAAGAATGGGTGAAGCTGAGTGATAGTCCTGAAGAACTGATAATTCACAAGGAGGTCCGCACAAGGGTCTATGTTCTACTCTAGACTTGGGTCATCAATATTACCCCTTCACTGACTACACTTTCCTCCCGACTGTTGGCATCATATGTTGTAGGTTTAACAATATTTCTAATACACTGAACTTATCTCTCCACAATCTATGACCTACCCAGTTTTATGCCTTTCTATATTTATAGTTCAGAACAGGTACAAAACACAGCAGAAAGGAGAGAAATCCTCTATGAATGAAAGAACTATTTCCACATTCGTATCATCAATTCTTTTGTGGAAAAATCTAATTTACCCACTGGAACATACAACAAAATATGAAGCACAGGATGAAAGCATGGTGAGCTTTAATAACTGGGATAGACTGAGGGACTAGCAGCTTTTCTAGCTGACTGAACAGAAAAAGCAGCATCAGAACTAGACACAGATATGGCAGAGATTCCAGAATTAACAGACTGGGAATTTGATACAATTAAGATTCATATAAAAAGACCTCCAAGTGAAAACATAGATCACATGCAAGAAAACATATGAGTAGAGAGATGTTATAAGGGACAGGAGGGAAGAACTGTAAAAAACATTTTAAGGTACTTGCATTACCAGTGAAGAGGTATAGTGTAATTTTAAAGTAGACTGGATTAGTTACATGATGCACACTCAAGTATCACTAAAAAAGTGAGAAAAAAAATAAGAGTTTATATGCTAAGTATGGAAAGAAAAGGGAATCACGTAAAACGCTCAATTAAAACAGGAGAAAGGAAAAAAAAAAAAAAAAAGGGTTGGAGACCAGCCCACAGTCCCAGAGTGGGCTAGAGAGAAAGAGCTAAACGAAAACAATTTACTAACAAAATAAGACAACTCCCAGGGTGGCACTAAAGGTTAAGCACACCAAGAAAAGAAAAAAAAAAAGTAAATAGTCCAGGAAAAGGCCCACCAACAAATACAGAAAGCTGAGTCATGAAAGAGGAAGCACCAAAAGCACTGCCAGAAATTAAAAACACTTTATTATGAGAACTGAGTCAACAAATTACCTAAATGGAATAATTAATGCATACCAACATACTACAAAGGCAAAAATCAATTCAAAATACATTAATTTTAAATGTTAGAATGTAAAATTTTCACACATTCAGAAGCTATAAACAAATTATTTTATGAAATCAGCATAGAGAAAAAAATCTAAAATAAAACACATAAAGGAACAGATTGACAAATTCAACTATATTAAAATTTAGAATTATTTTATCAAAGGTCAGCAAAAAGTGAATACGCACATAAGCTACATACTGGGAAAATACGTTTCAATATATCTAAATAAAACACATATTTATAAAAGCTGTAAAGAAGCACTAAAACGTCAGAGAAAGATCAACTGCCAGTGGGAAAACTTGCACAGCCTTGTTAGTACTGAAGTACTTTACGATAACTGCAGAATAAAATGAAACTAAGATACTTTTTCACATCCTAGTTTAAAGCAAGTATTAATTATTGGATAACCCCCATAAGGCAAGCAAATGAAGCAAACAAAAGAAACACACATATTATGTGAGAGGGAAAAGTGGTAAACTACACCAGCATTTCCCAGTAAACTTAAACTTGGCTATGATCTGCAACTTAATGATGTACTCACTAAAGACTTGGACCCTGGAGAGACTGAACCAACCAGAACTACTTGCAAGAGCAAAAACTGAACTTGAAACAACCTAAAGCCCATAAGCCACACAATGTTGTTTTTATTGTTAGATGCTGTCAACATAGCAACCCTATGTACAATAGAATGCAACATTGCCCAGTCCTGTGCCATCCTCACAACCCCTGCTATCCTTGAGCCCATCACTGCAGCCACAGTGTCAACCCATCCCGTTGAGGAGCTTCCCCTTTTTCACTGACCCCTGACTTTACCAAGCATGATATCCTTCTTCAGGGAATAGTCCCTTATGACGACATGATCAAAGTAGGTGAGACAAAGTCTGGCCATTCTTGCTACCAAGGAGCATTCCAGCTGCACTTCTTCCAGGAAAGATTTTTTCACTCTTCTAGCAACCCATGGTATTTTCAGTATTCTTCACCAACACCATAACTGAAAGGCATCAACTCTTCTTTGATCTTCCTTATTCACTGTCTGGGTTTCACACGCATATGAGGCGATTGAAAATACCATGGCATGGGTTAGGCGCACCTCAGTCTTCTATGTAACACCTTTGCTGCTTAACACTTTAAAGAGGTGTTTTGTAGCAAATTTGTCCAGTATAATATATCTGCAGCAGCCAGGGATGGAGGTAAGGGGAAGGACCCAGGCCCCACCTCCACCAGGCAGGAAAGTGGGGGAAACAGAAGCCAGAGGGGACGACAGAACAGAAGAGCA